TAAAGATGAGAAACGAAACTCAAAAAAGGCAATTAATAAACAGCCAAAACTATATTAAAACATAGTGAGGGGTACGACGAAATCCTGAAACCTGAAATTAACTGAAACTATATTAAAAATATAATAAGTGATATGACGAAATTATTTTGAGGGAGTTTTGGCTGGCATCTTTAATTGGAGTGTTAAAGAAATGGGTAATATTGAGAGAACTGAGTCTTTTGTTTCTTTGTAAAAGATTCCTTAAATCCTATTATTTTGCGATTTAATCAATCAAAAGAATAAAAAAAAATTATTTTTTTTTTTTAAAAAATTTTATTTTTATTGACATTTAAATAAATATTTTTGAAGATTGGCGTTTTAGTAATAAATTATAATAGTAAATAAAATTTTTTAATGATTTAAAGTTCATTTCCGGTTAATCATCACTCTTGTTTTTTGACCAATCACATGATAATATGGTAATAAAATTGATTATCCAGAGACTGACGTCGCTAGCTCAATAGTTAAACTGTGAGTCTCCTATACAGCAATAGGCCATCAGTTCAGGTATCAGCAAATATATAAAACTAGATAATTTTCATATAAATTTCATATATACTAAATACAATGGCGTATATACTAATATGCATACAAATCTGGTTAATTGATCTGTTGATCAACATTGATAATGCCTAAATACTGCATAGCATTAAAATAAGTAAATACAAATGAAACTAGAGATCAACAGAAATTTGGCCTTCGCTGATTGGTTTGTAATGAATACAGTCTTACGTCTCACATGGTAAGGATCCTTATTTTCGTATATGATCACAAGATTGAATATAAATTAAGGAAATAATTGACCAGAATTTAGTAGATTAAATCAGCGATGATAATAAAAACTGCATTACACGCCAGCAGCACTGTCTAATCAAGCTATCATAAGAGTTAGAGATCAGGTTCGATTTCTAAGTTGTTTGATGTTATGAGTATCAAAGTTACTTGTGTTGATGTGGTTTATATGTACAACTGGAGATCACTGTTTGGGCAAATCTTGTGGTACTATCCCATAAACCCTGCAGCTTTCTATATAGTTGTGATAAAGCTAAACCAAGAAATTGGATCTTGGTTATAGTTCACTAGACTGTTGGTAAAAAAGTGATGACATACACTATGGCTAAGATGAACTCTCTATTCAAATTTAACAGTACTTTTGATGCTAAGTACCTAATTTGAATACAATATGCGGTTTGAGTTGCCTGTTTAGGATGTCATACTTAGATTGGCATATCAAAGGGGATGCGTTCGACATGATAGATAACTTGAAAAATAGGAAAATACTTGAGATTGATTAGGTCCTGCACTTTACCATTAATAGTGTTAGCATAGACTTTATTGAGCTAGCTTTAAGTGCAATAGGATCCTCAGTCGACGTCATAGCACTTGCTAAAAAACAAAAAAAAAGGTAATAAAATTGATTATCCATTGACGTTATAGCTTATTTAATTCATTTTATTCATTTATTTTATTATTTTTATTGTATTTGTTTTATCTATTTTATTTACTATATTATTTTCTGTATTTTCTTTATTTAAATTATTATAATGATATATGTGATAATTTTTATATAAATAAAAGCAGTTTAAGATTAAGTAACGACAGGTTTTTCATAGGTTTTTATAAATCTGTTTTAGTAGTTATAAATCCTTTAATAAATAAACTGTTTAGTACAGACGCGCTAATAGAGGCAGTACTATAATTTTTTTTGTTAATCATTTATACTACGTGTATTTATCGTATTCCTATTATATTAATAAATCTTTAAATATTTTCTTATCTTCTTTACAAAGGAAACCTTTTGCACTCATATATATATCGCTTCTTTAAGTTGAGCGATTTAAAGAACTGACATAATAATAACAATAGAATTTCTATAAGATGTTTTTAGAAATTCAGTGGTATACCAATTATTTTTCTTTTATTTAAGAGGAATATTCTTTGCTTTTTCAAAGGTATTAATAATGTATATTGATTATTCCAAGCTTTAATAATGCATTCATATGCATGTTAATAAATAATAAACAGTATTATGTAGGTGAATGATTTTGACTTAGTCAGAAAACAAATCTTATCATATAATGATTTAGAAATGATGCCTTTAATTAGGTTAATGAAGGTAAAGTGTGTTGTATATGGTGAAATATCCTATATATCATTAATAAGAAGAGGATAGAGGTTATCATTATTATCATTAAAGATAATATCTATTCACGTTTCTATTGAATAATGTAAAGTAATAATTTATATTAATATACTAGCATTGTATATAATGTTTTAGCTAAAGAAGCAAAGCCAAATATGATCAAAACCTTTACAATAATATTGCAAATTACATAAGTTAAATTATATGATTAAAGGGTTGAATGTCTTTTTTTAAGAACTTTGACCATAGGAAATATTTCTAGGAGCAGTTTGAGTTTTTGTTTTTAAAATCTGAGACTTTAAATGATATGAAAGATGTATTTTCATTATTATTCAAGACAAAACAGGTAGTTTTCTAATGTATAGATCATTACCTGTATTTTGAAAAATGTGTTAAATTTATAAAACCTTGAAACTGTCAAGCTCAGAGATCATTCTTAAGAAAATATCTTGGTAAGGTATTGATGGGAAATTATTTACAATAAAATACATACTTTACACATTAAAGCGTTAGCATTAAAAGTGATTACATTGAAAGTATACTGTTTTGCAAGTTGATTCACAGTATTATTGTGTTTGCTACTATTTCACTAGCCTACAATAAATATTCAGATTTTCATCATATGAAATTGCATCCTTGTGATATAATCGGTGATTTCTTCCTATCATATACACTAACCTACATTAAATTACTGGATTTATAATCACGTGATTTATCACGTCTGTAATAAATTCGCAATTTCTCCTAATGTACATAACAATAATAAAAAAAATAATACATACATATTCTTTATCTTCTTCAAAATAGAAATGCATGAAAATGAGCTGTCTGAAGCTCAACGTGAAAGAAGTATCAGTACATATGTGAGTGGTATCAAGCAAACGCTTATTTTAACTCAGCTTTGTATTCCCACTAGCACTGTCAACAATACTATAAAAGATATAAAGAAACAGATTCTGTAATATCTGAAAAGCGTCCTGAACATCCTAAAATAATTAATCAATGTGATAAATAGACTCTACAACGTATCATTCAAAATAATCAGTTCACTTCTCTTAGTAATATAATAAGCAGATTAAACTCTAGTCTTGATACCATATTGCATAATAATACTGTTAGAAAATACCTTAATAATGAAGGTCTTGGTAGCTATGTCATTCGTAAGAAACCCTTTTAATCCAAAAATAGCAAAATGATAGGTTAAAATGGAGTATAGAGAAACGAAACTGAGGTGATGAATGGAAAAGGATAATATGGGGCCTTTGCAATAGAAAGGGGAAAAACAGCCGGAAAAATCAAAAGTGAGTTAATGCTAAATTTGAACATATTTCAGCATAAAAATCATATTTGGATATAAAAGTAAAATAAATTTTTTCCAGCAGTTTCCCCCCTTTCTATTGCAAAGGTCTCATATGGTCTGATGAGTCCAGATTTGCTCTTTTTGAATCAGATAAAATAATAAGAGCTTGAAGAAGTCTTGGAGAAGCTTATAATAAAAATTGTATCTTACTTACAGTTAAATTTGGTGGTAGTTCAGTAATGTTTTGGGGTTGTTTTGGTTGGCATGGAGTTAGACCTTTGGTTGTAATAGAAGGAAGTATGGATTCTGATACATATATCAATATTCTTGCTAACTACTTCATACCATGGGTAAGTAACTATCCTAACTCTATTTTTCAGCAAGACAGAGCTCTATATCATACATCAAATTATAGCATTTGGTGGATGAAAACACATAATATTCCAATCTTAGATTGGGTGGCACAAAGCCCTGATCTTAACCTGATC